ATATATATATATCAACTAGGATCCGAGAGAGGATGCGTAAACTAATTATTTGTGATTTTTAAAACTGTAATTTTGGGCATGTAAACAAAAGTTGGAGCCCAGATATTAGCAAGAAAAATACTATAAGCCCAATTTAGTATGAATGAAATTTTAACCCAACTCTGCCTGCCCTTATTATACAGTTGTTACCGATAACAAAAGACAGGGGCCCATATTCAGTGAAATTCACATTGTTAAACCCAATTCATGTCCAGGCCCATAACAATGAGCAGCAGCGATAGGCTAACAGAACCGTTTTTTTTTTCTTTAAAAATTGTCAAATTTGATTATAGTCATCCATTTTTATTTCGTAGTTTTTTAATTCCTCTATTTTAAAATAAATTACATATCAATATTATAAACAGGGATTTTGATCACGTGTCTATAGTATCACTAATATGTCAAAGTGTTGTAAATGCTATTTTTACAAGAAAAACTTGTAGATTGATTCCTTAGAGTTGTATATGTTGATTTTTATGTTGTTTGGCCCATTGCTGGCAAATTACGTCAAGATTGTGAGTTGATTTTGGAGTTTTGAAGTATTTGGAATTTTGAAGAAAAATCTTGAATATGTTGATTTTGTACACAAATCCTTGTTATAAGTTATTTTTGGTTGTTGGACTTGATGTATTGATGATGTTTAGATGAATTTTGATGGTTTAGATTTGAGTTTGGAGCTTGTAGGTAGCTTATGATGGTTTAGATATGTTTGGAAACCCCTTAATCGCCAAAAACAGAGATGGTCTCAATCACGAATTCATTGAGCAAAATTCTTTTTACTGAGTGAAATCGGGGACGAGAATCAAGGATGTTTTTTAAGGAATTTTGCTGGGCAAATTTGAAGGGGTTGAGAGGAATTGCCAATTCCGTTGAGTGGTTTTGAAAAGTGATGTGCACAAGCACAAGGCATGTTGTGTTGAACATTGTTGTGAATGCATAAAACATGTAGTTGTGTTATGTTGATTGACTTACGATTAGAGTGGAAATGATGTTTTAACATACAAACATCTCATTGTAAGGATATGGTGTTGTGATACTCTATGAGTCCAATTGTTAAAAAAATCCTTTTTGAGTATTATTATCTCTTAAATTAAAGTGTTGAATCCTCTTTAAATCCTTAGTTGATACAATATAGGAGTCAGGTCGGATCATACTGATTATAAAGTGATCCAATGTAAAATTGTATGGAAGTAAGGTTGAATAGTACATGTATAAAATGACCAAATGTAGAAACATATAATGGTAAGGTCGAAACATACATGTATAAAGTGACCAACCACGTAAGGTATGAAGATGATGATTAAAATCCTTAACCAATTATCAAAAAAGGTGTGTAGTATGTTTGGGGTAGTCAGCGAGCTAATTTCATATGAAGCTTATATATACATGTTATGATCGTGGTATGATTATACCCAAGTTGTTTTTTCTTGACAACAACATTAAACTTTTCTGATTTAAATGACGAAACTTGAGAAATCAGTTTTAAGTTATGTACTAGGTGCTCAAAGAGTTCTAAAGTTGTATCTACTTGATTTGGATGCGATAGGTTATAACTAGTGATTCAATAGGGTCAAGACACTTAGACTATTCACCTCAATTATAAGAGATCTCCATAATTGATATGCGTGATAACACATTAGTTGTTTAAGGTTATTTAAGTTATGATTAAAGTTGAGTATGTTGTGGAGAATGATGTACATAATGTGTGTTGTACTAACTATTGCATGTAGTAAATGTTAATAGTAAGTTGGTACTATGCTATGATTTAACTTAATGTTGTTTAAGTTGATATGTTACTATGTTGTGTTGTGTTGAAGTTGAGGTGTTACTTTTTTTGTGATGAATTACTACGTTATTCTTATTTCGTGTTGATATATTGTTTCTTTTAAATTCAACCTTACTCTTGACTTTCTGTGTTACTGGATTGTGATGATCATACTTATAAGAACATGACGGGATTAGGTTGGAGGGAATACTTGGTGGATGACCATGCTAGAGATGGTTTGTATGTCTTGTTGGTTATTCTGATAAAATTTGTGTATAGTTATGCTTGATCGACGTTAAGGCTTCATGTTTTCAATATGTATGTATGTATGGCTTTGTTGTAATTTCATAAGGAAATTTATGTTTTAAAGTCAAAATTTGTAGGGGTTATTTTATGTTATTTTGCACCTTATACATATATTTATCATATAGATGTTTAGGTACTATTGCATGGTTATCCTAATTTAGTAGATTCTTTAAGTTTTTTATTGCGTAGTTTTTATGTTGTAATAAGTGTAACGATCTGATGACTAAAATTTAATTTTACAAAAACAAATTTTTGTATATGAATTTGTTTAACTTATGGAGATATAAATTGATTTTTTTCCTTATCAATATTATTCAAATTAATTAAAATTTAGAGCATAAAATAAAAAATATAGTTAGAAAAATATGTATAACTGTTTCAGATAAATTAATAAAACAGAAGTAATTTAATTCAGAAGAGAGAGATTTTAACAAATAAAAAATTAATTTAAGAATACAAGTAATTGAAATTTTGAAATATAAATAACAAAAATTTAAGTTGAAACTTAAATGGATAAAGAAAACTTAATATAAAAGTATAATAAATAATTAAAATTTTAATTTTTAAATATACCAAATACTAAAAGCTAATAAAACTACTTATTATAAAAATTATCCTAGTAATTAAAAAAATAAAGACAAGAACTCGTAATTAAAAGAACACATCTCTTTAAACAATATTTTGCATTCAAGTTTTGTCGATAAAATAAAATTTAATTGAGATGAGAGGTTTCAATAAATATGATTGGTTTTTTTTTTTTGAAAAAGATAGTTATTAACAAAGTTAATGATTAATTTATACCATTAATATAATTAAAAAAGTTTAATCAATATATTATTAGTTTGAGAATTGAACTTGGATCTCTTAAATAAGATAAGTTCAAATTTTATGAAGAAGAAAATGTAATTAGTAAAAAAAAGTATACTAAAATTAATCAATCATATTCTTTAATCAAAATTAATCATTACAAAATCAATAAATACTTTACATTACCAACATAATTAAAAGAATATTTCAATAATAACGAATTGAGTAAGTATTCTTCATTCATCATCTTCTATTTTTTGCTCTTACACACATTAACTAGGTAATCAAATTTCTGAAAACAAAAAGTAATTAAATTTAAATTTCAAATTGTATGACTATTACTTCTGCAATTATAATTAATGAGGGTGATAATTACACCGTTGGATGTAATGAATATCAATACAATGTTTTTTGACACCGCAAATCAATACATTGTTAAACATATATAATAAAGAGTCTTTATATAAGTTACAATTTTTGTCTATTAATTATAGTTGCTTTTTTTTGACAGCATAATTGTTGCTTATAAATAGGATAAAATATTTATTTATTTATATTTTAAGCAAAATAAAAATGTTTCCACAATCCTTTATTTATATAAAAAATAAATAAAGTATCTAAAGAACTATGTAATATCCAGATATTTACAAAATAACATATATAATTTGGATATAAATGCATAATTAGATAGTTATGTTTTATTACTTACATATGTATGTAATTTGTTTTTATTTATAAGAATCAAATTTGATATAAAAATTTTACAATAATTCATGCATCCTTTTCAACTATCTGAATTAGATCATATGGCCTATACAAGTACGAGGATTTATATAACTTTACTATTTTATTTAACAATCAGTTTTTTTTTTCTTCACAACCAATAATTAATTTTGTTATTCGTTCAAATTAGTTAATTAATTAATTATTTATCATCTTATTAATTTTAAAATTTAATCTTATTTGGTTGATATCAAATGTTAATATATCCAAATCATATATTTTATTTTGTAAATATATATATATATATATAGATATTACATAAATATTTATATACTTTTATATATATACATATTATTTAAATATATCTAAAAATTTCATATCATTCAAAAATCGAGATTTAAAATAATTTATAAATATTTTTCCTTTTTAATTTATTAAAATATTTTTTTAAAGACAAAATCGGAAGATCAAAAGAACACAAATATTAAAATGGATAATCTCTCAAATTTATTATTGAAATATTATATAAAAAATAATTATTGACACACTTATTCTATTTAAAATAGATATAAATAATACAAAATATATAATGTGAAAATTCTAAACGTATCAGTTAACGAATACATTGTCCCTCATCTATTCAAGAAAAAAAAGAAAACCATAATCAAGAAAGGTATATTATTATTAATTTTTTTTTTATAGAAAAAAGGCCACGCACAATTGGCACCAGACATTTCAATCACGAGTATATTAATTTTTATGATAATTATCTTAAAAATTATATCAATCATAACTTTTTAATTGATTGATAGTACGATTTATTAATATTAGAGTGCATCAAATTTTTTTTTCTTTTCTCCTTTTTTCACTTCCTTACTATAAAAAGAAAGAAAAGAAAAGCATCTTAACATCTACCTCTAAAGTCAACTGTTTGACTATTTAATTGAGAAAAAAATACTATTTTTTTTTGTTATGAAAATTGTGTATATACCACTTTTCTTTATCTTTCTCTAAAAATCGTTTTAAGTTTTCATATTCATGTTTTTTATTTTTCTGATTCTCAAATAGTTATTTTCTTTGGTTTTGAAATCACTGTATCGCCTAATTAAAGGAAGGATATAATTATATTTGAATCACCATTTCCTTTATGCGTGATAGCGTTTTTGCAAATACATTAATTTTAGAAAAAAAAATGTACAATAGTAATTAAGGGGGATTAAAAAAAAAACTCAAATTGATCTATTTTATAAAAAAAGGATTTGCTTTATTAAATGTTTTATCATAAAACAAATTGGCTTAATTTTTTTCTAAAAATAGATTAAAATTTTTAAAATCAAATCAATTTGGTCATTCATTTTATATGTATATATATATTTTTGGTAGTAAAATTCATTTTATATTTATATATGATTTATTTTTTCGCAAAAAATAAAACCCATCACCTTTATAGGAATAATCGAGTAATCTAAATTGGTTTAGTTATGAATTTGAATTTTACATCCCTAAAGATAATAGTGAATAGTAAGACGTGAATGATGGGTATTTGAGCATAAACATGACAAGGTAAATCTACATGCTTCACAGTTCACACGCAATCAGGTCTGAGTCTGTGACAATGATCTGTAGTCAACTAAGCCTACTGCCCTTTCCATTTCTACGCCTCTCATTATCTATCCTTTTTTCCAAATATAAATACTCATCCATGAGACAACCCTTTCATACTATTCTCCGATTAAAATTTCATCTGGCAACACATATTTTATTTTTCCTATTATTGGTATATGGAGTCAGAAATTAATTGGAAGAATTTTGTGCACTGAGATTAAACATGGAATTCCTAAGTACTTAAGCCATTAAATTAAGAATTTTTTACATAAATAATATTTTTTTTTAAAAAAGTAACATCTTTACAACATTATTTACTCAACTAGAACCAATCACTGTTCATGCTCAGAATTCGGTTCTCCGAGAACCGAATTCTGAGCTTCAATTTTTTTTTTTTGTGCTCAGAATTCGGTTTCCAGGGAACCGAATTCTGAGTTTTTTTTAATTTTTTTGCGTTTCTGGGAAGTGGAACGAGCCGTTCCGAAAGCAGAATGGCCGTTCTACTTAAACAAATAGAGTGTTATTTTTGAAATTGGAACGGCCCGTTCTGCACCGTTCCAATTTCAAAAATAACACTCTATGTGTTTAAGCAGAACTGGCCGTTCTGCTTCCGGAACGGTCCATTCCACTTCCGCCCAAACTGAGCCTCAAACGCAAAAAAAAAGAAAATTTAAAACAACTTAGAATTCGGTTTCCTGGGAACCGAATTCTGAACACAAAAAAAAGGAAAAAAAAAATATTGAAGCTCAGAATTCGATTCCCATGAACAGTGGTTGATTCTAGTTGAGTAAATAAAGTTGTATAGATGTTACTTTTGTAATTTTTTTAAAAAAATATTATTTACGTAAAAAAATTCTTAAATTAACTAATAAATTACACGTATTATTAATTTTATTTTTCCAAGAATAAAAGAAACAGACAGCGTGATGAATAATTTGATTGGATTGGGAAATATGAAGGTGTGATTATGAGTTGGACTTGGACAGTAGCTGCCTTTTTCTTTTCTTTTCGTTTTCTAGTTTGAAGTTTGAACCCAAATAGGAAACGAGAGAATAGCATTAGCATAGATAGTTAGATAGCTCCTTGGATCTCATTTCTCCGTCGATAATGGGTTGTCACGGTAGCAAGGAAAAAAAATCAACGGCAGAATATAGTGAAAGTGCTGGTTACCACACTGTTGAGCCACCCGCAAGCGCAACAACTAGGCAGGTACACACAGCAGCAGCAGCAGCAGCACCATCACAGTCACAGTCACAGGCTCCGATGGCGGCGCCTAAAGCAGAAGGCACCATTCTGGGAAAACCCTTTGACGACATAAAGAAGTACTACACTCTGGGGAAGGAATTGGGAAGGGGCCAATTCGGGATAACCTATCTCTGCACCGATAATTCCAGCGGCGCCACCTACGCCTGCAAGTCCATTCTCAAGCGGAAGCTGGTGTCCAAGGCCGACAGAGAAGACATGAAGAGGGAGATTCAGATCATGCAGCATTTGTCCGGCCAACCCAACATTGTCGAGTTTAAGGGAGCGTATGAGGATAGGTTTTCGGTCCACCTTGTTATGGAACTCTGCGCCGGCGGGGAGCTCTTCGATCGCATCATCGCTCAGGGACACTACTCCGAGAGAGCCGCTGCCTCGCTCTGCAGAGCCATTGTTAACGTTGTTCACATTTGTCACTTCATGGGTGTCATGCACCGCGATCTCAAGCCTGAGAACTTCTTGCTCTCTAGTAAGGACCCTGAGGCAACGCTCAAGGCCACTGATTTTGGACTCTCTGTCTTCATTGAACAAGGTTCCCCTCCTTATGCTTCTTTCTTTTGCTACTTTATTTATTTCCACTCCTCACCCATTTCCACATGCCTCCTCAACTCCTAAGTACATTCATTCGTACCCCAACTTTTCCTTCTCACTCTCTCCAATGTCAGCCGTTTCTTTACTTTATTCATATTACCACAATGATTCTTGATTTGTTGGAGTCAGATTCATTTTTTATTTACATATCTGATTAGGCCGGCCATTTTTTTTTTTTGTGATGAAGGTGACATTTTCTCTGCTTTTAAACAAATTTTAGATTAGGTACCACATTCGTCATTGGTTTATAATTCCTTTTCAGTAGGTGATTATTGAAGTGTGTCCACAATATTCAATACTTTTGTCCGTTTTTGATACAGCTTATAAGCATTGACTGCTATGGTAGTTCTAAAGGACTTGCATCTTGTTACGTGATGAGGCCATAACTTTCACAGTGGATGATTCATAGTGTTGTCTAAAATCTATTTCAGGCAAGGTTTACCGTGATATGGTTGGCAGTGCTTACTATGTTGCTCCTGAGGTATTGCGTCGTAGTTATGGAAAGGAAATTGATATTTGGAGTGCAGGAATCATATTGTACATTCTTTTGAGTGGTGTACCACCTTTCTGGGCTGGTAAGATTAAATTGTAATTTGAAAATGTTTCCATATTTGCACTTTAAGGTTGAGTTTATTATTTAAAAATTAACTCTTGGATGTACAATTGGGGTGAGAATATGTTGTTAATATCTTTTGCAGAAACTGAAAAGGGAATATTTAACGCCATATTGGAAGGTGAAATTGATTTTGTAAGTGAACCATGGCCATCCATATCAAACAGTGCTAAAGATCTAGTCAGGAAGATGCTGACACAGGATCCAAAGAAGCGGATTACTTCTGCTCAAGTCCTTGGTATTAGACTACTGTTTCTATTTTGAATCAAGTAACTTTCATCGATGCAGTACTTATTTAATCATATCAAAAACACTGTTTTTTTTGTTAGTATTAGTTTAGCAGTTTAATTGCCCGCCTTTCAGATTTTGTTACGGTACTTATTTTTGCTGCTCTTCTACTTTCCCAAGTTGTGTAACATATAGGCAGCAATAATATATGACTTGTGTGTTGAACTGTAAAAATAAGAAATGACAAACAAAATTCTGTCCAGGGAAATGTTAATAGCATCAATAATAAGTGGTGATCAGAATGTCATCAACTAAGTAAATTCTCATCAATCATTTGCATTGCTACTGTTTTGTCTACTTTTTGTCAAAGTTAACCTGACTAAGATTGATGATTTGTTTGGTAAGAACACCCCTGGATGAGAGAAGGCGGAGAGGCATCTGATAAACCAATCGACAGTGCAGTTCTATCCAGAATGAAGCAATTCAGGGCAATGAATAAGCTCAAGAAGCTGGCATTGAAGGTATGGCATCAAACTTGGATTAAAAGCTACTACTGTTGATGTCCTTTTTTTGGTGGGCCCTCGAGATTGTTGGGAAATGATGATTTCTGTTTTGATTGTAGTTTTTAAACTGTGGACACACCCTCACAAATATATATACATTCACCCATTCTGGAATATAACTATGGATATAATATTATGAAAGTGTTTTGTGTGTTATATTTGGTATACAAGCCTCTGTTTCTTTCGCTTGAAACAAGTTGATAATGTCTTTTCAATTGGTCTTTCCAATTTCTTTTCATCATATTTAATATTACAACAGTGTTACCAAATAAAGGACTTATTTTGTAAAACTTGCATTCTATTGATATAAAACAGAAAAAATGTTCTATTGAAATTTTAAACATTCCAACAAGGAAGTACAAACACTTCAAAATAGTAAACTGTTGTGTCTAACCAGTGTCAGACATATACCCTTGTTGACATATCAAATACTCCTCATTACATTTTATTTTGAATTTTTTATACCTATACAGATAAACTAAAGCACTTTATTATGCCTATATCTGTAATGACTTGAGCTCATTTTTATAAGTTCAATTCTTTCTTTTGATTAACTATTTTGTTTTATAATTTTATATGCTATATTCTAGTAGTGTTGTCTCCTACGATTTTTTGAATTTTTAACATATGCCCGTTTTGCATTCTTTGTGCTTTCTAGCTTTCCAGATACTGCTTTCATTATGGAAGGTATCCTCTATTGCTGTCAGGCTTTGATAGCTGTATAGTGTTTCCTATTCATTGCATGCTGCTGAGAAGTAAAGAACATTTTACGAGTTGCCTGTTCCAGTTTATTTCTTCTCTAACTATTTCTCCATTACCAACATTGGTGAAAATTTCACTAGGTTATTGCTGAAAATCTATCAGAAGAGGAGATTAAAGGTCTCAAAGCAATGTTTGCAAATATGGATACCGACAATAGTGGCACCATCACCTATGAAGAACTGAAGACTGGCTTGGCTCAAATCGGATCAAGACTGTCCGAGGCTGAAGTGAAGCAACTCATGGAAGCTGTAAGTAGTTACTGATCTCTACCGAGAGTATAACTAGTTGAACATATTTAAGTTCATTGTATCTCAAACTCAGCAGGATTGTTGTTCTTGTTTATAATTTTCTCAGGCTGATGTTGATGGAAATGGGTCAATTGACTATCTTGAATTCATCTCAGCTACAATGCATAGGCACAGACTTGAACGGGATGAACATCTTTTTAAAGCATTCCAGTATTTTGACAAGGATAACAGTGGGTGAGTTAGGAATGGTATTTTAGTGTTTCCAAATTTGTAATTTATTTCTAACCATTGTGTTTGAACAACTAGATAATGTTTTGTTTGAATTCACACACTCATCTTGATAATTTTGAGCTGTTTTATCCTCTGCATTTATTGTAGTTAAGTTCTTCAACGTTGATGACAAATTTGCTATGAGAATTTGTTTTTAGTGTCCATATTAGTCATTACCATTACAAATGAATAAAGATGACATCCATTTTGGCCTGAGAGCCTGATGTGATAGCATGGCATTCTCAGCCTTTTGTTTTGGCTTCACTATGAAGCTTTTATTAGTAACTTTTGTATGTTAAACCGCATTAATTTACTTTAAGTCTATATGAATAACCTGATTGCCTGACTTCAGGGACACACATCGTTGATTGATTTAAAAATTGAATTACCAAATCAACTTGTTGATTTATGGCTGAGAATGAGTGTTGTTAAATTCACTGGCAGGTTTATTACTAGAGATGAATTGGAGACTGCTATGACCCAACATGGAATGGGTGATGAAGCATCAATAAAGGAAATAATCTCTGAGGTGGATACAGATAACGTAAGTTGGTTCTAGTTTGGTTTATCAGGTTATTGAATGCTGATCTTGTTACTAATAATTTTTAAACTAACAGGATGGGAGAATAAACTATGAGGAATTCTGTGCAATGATGAGAAGCGGAACGCCACACCAGGGACAGCTATTTTAAAGTTACTAATAATTCATCAGAAAGCCTTTTGGTTGAGTGACTTGTTATTTGTTGGGAAAAGCATTGTCTCCAGCAATGTGCAACAAGCCACTTCATGCATTGACGATTTCCTTGCAATCCCAATTTTCATACAAGGTTGCTATTGTGCCTGTTGTGCTAAAAGTGGATTTGTACTTCTGTATACATTTAGTTTACGGCTGTCACATTTTCCAAGTATCTTATGGAAGCCTGAATTTTTATTAAGATACTTTGATATCGTATAGGGTTTTCATTTTTATCGTGGCTGAGTAATGAGTAATGAGTAATCAGGGGAGGGAACTATTTTCCTTAACCTGTACATGGAAGTACAAACTTGAATGCTTAGTCCACATAATGTTTAGATAATCAAATATTTTGTGCAAATGCTAGATTGTCTTCTTTTTCCAATTGGTTAGGGCTATCTCAGGAGGTAAGTCATCCCTTGCCCTGAAACGAAACACTAGAGAATTTGATGCTTGAATTGCACTTGTCCTGTGCTAAGCATGGACACTCGCAAAATAACGTGCCATGTACGTATTGGTCCTATTGGACATATCTCTTTTGGTTTGCCTAAGGATATCCTTAGATATCATTAACCAATAGTCAGAAGTCTATTTATTTGAAGGCGTCTAACAAAGTTTATTTTTCATACAGTTAGAGAATCAAACTTCTGATAATATACATAAGAAATTCAATTATCTGTTAACTATGTTGGATTTTGTTAGTCTTATAAAACACGTCTATGACAATTACTTAATAGACTGAAAATTGTAAATAAAAATTAAGCAGTGGATTAATTATATAACTTTATATAGCCTATACCTAATAGTAGATGAATAGGTGAGTTTATAACTAATAATTGCCATAGCATAAGCTAGTTGATTATTTGAAAGATTTCGTAAATTTGGCAGTTGAATTTCTTGACAAATATAAATTAATATCAAAAGAAATAATATATATATATATATGTATCATATTGTTAATTAATATATTATTTTAGTTTAATTATAAATTTATATACTTTAATTTATTATAAATTATTATTTTTATCTAAAATTTCTTTTATTCTCTCATGCATTCCTTCCTTGTGCTTCCAGGTTTTCTTTACAAGTGGTCCTCTATCCATATTGACGCTACAGAGGCCTTATCTTTTATCGATACAATGTGAGAGGATTGTGACATATGTCACAAGATCTATTAGTGCGAAATTTTAATTTTGTATGTGCAATATGTATAATACTTTAAAAGCATATAGCCATTATAATTCAAACATTTTATGGAAATTCACTAGGAAACTGAAAATAGAACCAAATAATACCCAAAATAGATACCAGCAACCATAGTTAATAAAAAAAAACGACACCTACAAATCCTACAAACCAGAATCAACCAAAGAGAGAGGGAGGAATCCGTGAGAGGAAAATATAGAGTTAGGGCTTTTGTGTTTTATTCGAGAGAGAATAAAATAGGAATTTAATTAAAATAGCAAGGGGTAAACATACGTCACAAGTTCAAAAATTACTTTAATTAGGGTATAAAAAAGACCAAGTCGTGAAAAAAAATGCTATAAACTAATAAGATAAAGTTCATTATGAAACACCTCTGCTTTAGTCAAAAGAGCTTATCTATTGTAAACCAACAATTTGACCTCGCTAAACAGACCCTTTGTGTACAAGTATAGGTAGTAATGTCACAACAACTAAATGAGTACTTTATTATGTTATAATGATTCATATTCAATTTCAAAACTTAGATTTTTTTTCTTTTTAATTTAAGAGTTAGGTTTTATATTGACTTTATATAATACTTTTTTTGGCGAACATAATGCAGTAGTCTACACGGAGAACATCTGCAGTTTATGATATTCTGTTGAGCAATAGCATTGTTAGTAATTATAAATTAAGGACAGAATCCAGCAAAAGAAACTAGAAATGCAGTGATCATGAGAAATTTTTGTTTCTTTCTTTTTTATTTTTTAAATAATCCTGAGAAATCAGAAGAGTCGTGGGTCCGAAGTTTCATATTTCATTTCTTGGGGTAACCTCAAAGTAAACTGGCTACAGTTCCTAAGAATATATAATCAAAGGGCTCTCCAATTGTTGTAAAAGGAGAAATTCCTGACGCTAATCAAGTTAGTTTAATATTAATAAGATGGTATCCAAGGTTTTAGCTTCATATTCCCCTGACAAAAATTGTATTAAGTGACAACCATTTAAGTTACTCATCCACGTGAGGTTGTTTTTTATACTGGTTAGTATTATGCATCCCACTGGCGCTACGTAAAATATTATCATATTATGTGCACGTGTGCACGCCTTTTTTCTTATATATCTATTCCTGGGAAAGAGAAATTATACAATGACTTTATACAATCTATTTTTGCTACAAAGAGAGAAATACGAGTCAACAGAAAAATTCTCACAGACACTCTATAAAGAGAGTGCTTATTCTATGATCCCTATCTTGATATAATAATATGCCCTGATGTCCTGAAAGCGTCAAAGATGAGAAGCTTTGGAAAGGGATGTGCATCTTTTTATGGCTAAAGGGTGAAGTGGAAATGTAACATTTGTCATTCTAAGTTTCAAGCAGTATTGAAGTGGACAGAGTAGAGTTAAATATAGAATAATATATGTGAATGGTGCCTCGGATGCTGTTAACATGGTAACAGCCTCAGGCTTTAATAACAAGACAATGCAATTGTAATTAAAACATGCGGTGAGTTGTCATTACCAGTAGCAGAGCAGATTAATGCTATGCCAAAAGAAAATTGAAGCCAGCAAACCATGGTTGGTTAATTAAAACTTGCATTTACTTTAATATAGCTAGTGCGCATGGATTTTGAAACAAGAAAAGCAAAACAACTAAAAGTTCAAAAAGAAAACGTACGATTAATTCTTTGGAAGAGCTTGTAAAACCGAAACATCAAATACAAGATTTATTTTATTTTATTTTATACTATTACTTTTCAACGTCCCTTAATCTTAAGAAGCTGAGTGACTTAAGCTTCTGGGGTAGCCAATTCGTGCACAAACTTGTTAAAGAATTCGCTTTTCTACAATCTGAAGTTAATAGCAAAAGTGTGGCTATTGGCTCGAAATACAATGATACAGAGAGAGAAGCGCACGTGGTAATGTTAATGCATGCCTTCCTACCTCTCGCTGTTCTCCTTTTCTTTTTCCTTTTACCAAACTGAGAATGATATTATTCAAATACAAATTACAAAAGGACTCACTCCACCTTGCCTTGCATTGAGATCACTGTCATTTGCCTCTCTTCATTAACATTGGCTAATGAGTTTAACTTCTCTTCTTGCCATTTTGTTTCCACTGCAATTGTTTGATTTGCCTCCTCCTTACACTGTATAGTTTTTTGGTCTTCCAATACCCTTTTACTACTCAAATTAAATGGTCCATTCCAGAATCCATTTTTCATGCCAATAATGCACTGTTAGGAATATGTACGCTTTGGTGAAAGACCTTAACGTTATGCGTTTCCAGCCATATTTCTTTACGAAGCCCAAATATTTCTTTCTGTTTCATAGGTGTTATTAGTTCTACTTTGAAAGTGCATTTTTTTTTTCCGGGAAGATTTTGGCAGTGGAAGGATTTTATTCAACGATATTTTATTATTATTATTTAGGGGGTTAGAGGGTGTCGGTCACTTGACGTAACTTGAGTTCAAAATTAGAGATTTTCATATATAATTATTTACTTAATTCCAAATGGTAGAACTTCACCTTCAATCCTGTGCTACTTTGGTGAATGCCTCGGCATTGTGTGGTATAGAACAAGAAGTGAGGGGAGATAGTGTCAATGTTGTTGCTGAGATTTCAGCTGAGTTAGAAAGGGAAAGGAAGAAGAATGCGGAGCTCATGGAGAGAATATCAATGCTCGAAGCTCAGTTAAAAGAAAGAAACAAGGAATCTCATGTACGGTTAGTTTTTCTTGTTTGTCTCTGTACTTTAGCTTAAATTAAATAAGTGCATACCTGTTTAAATTTAGTGTTATGTATGAAAGTTCATTCCCTAACTTGATGAATCATGCCAGCTGCAAAAAATTGTTGTAGTATACCTTCTGAAATATAAGAATAATTACAATAATGACAACAAAGTTCAAATCTAAGTCTTGTGTATATTATTCCAATTTTTACCATTAGACCAAAATTAGTAGTTGACATAAACCATTTTTAAAATCTTCATTGGCTCAACTAGGAATAGGATAATTCGTAGTGTGTTGAATTATTTCTGGATACTTCTGTATTCTCTTGTAATTTTGACAAAAGCTGAAGTCTTCAAGTTGATATGGATTCGGGCACTAAGATCAATTATCCTATGGTTGGAGTGTGGAGGAATGATATAGGAGTAAATGTTATGTGTAGTGTATCCATAATGAATAATTCAGATTTATCAACCAATGACCAAGCTTTAATGACACTCAGAACCATGATGCCCGTTTTAATTATTGTTTATGTTCCCTGATTGTTGAAGTTTTCATCCCTTAATTTTATTATTAAAGGTGAAAAATTCTCCCTTGATAGCAGGAAAATCATCAGCATGAAGTTGCAAGAAGCTTAAAGAACATCAAAAGGCAGAAGATAGAAATGGTAGATGATGGGAAAAATGGGAGCAGTGTGAAATGTGAAACTGCCCCCCAGTACAAGCCCGATGCTGAAGGCATTAATATTCCTAAGGAGATTGATCCAGCAAAGCGCTTAATTAATTGGATGAGCATGGACGATGGCCAAAATATGTATGCTGAAAAATTTAAAGACTGCGACTCTGTTGCAGATTTCAATGAAACAGATAGTGATGATGCATGTGATGATAATTTTGATGATGATATGGATAATAATCGTAGACATGAGGAAGTTGATGACACAAATGAAACGGTTAGTGAACAAAAAGGTTACCATGTTGACGAGGCATTAAATACAACATGCATGGGAAACCTTTCTGGTGATCATGAAAATAAAAAGACAAGTTGCATATTACTTGCTCCATTATCCGAGAAGAGTGAAGTCAAAACACACCAAGGGAAAGAAATTAAGGAGATAGCAACAATTACAGCAGCACTTGATGTCCCTTCCTCAGGACCTGCACGTACATCACAGAATAGAAAGCCTCTAAAGGTAGCTTTCTGCCCAAAAGAAGTTAAAAGGATAATCGAGTCTGAAGCCCTTTTACAAAAAAATGCTCAGTCTCACACTATAAGGAAAATTTTAGTTTTTGCATCACTTGGCATAAGGCACGGATGTGAGGATATGTACGAGCTGGACTTCAATCATTTTAGCATTTTGAACAAAGGAGAACCATATGTGTCTTCAAGGAACCCTGGGGTAAGAGTAATCCTTACAATGCTACTTTTCTGATGGAACAAGTCAATTAAAAGAAGAGAAAATTTGACAGTGTCACATGGTTCTTATTTTCATTTGTGTCATGCACTTTGCATCTAGTGATTTTCAAAAAATTCCTTAGGATCATATTTTTCTAAAATTTAACAAATTAAACTTTGTGTCCTTCAATTCATCTCTTTAACAATTTCAGAAACAAACATTTTGCTTAAAATTTATAGCACGTCTTTGTGAAAAGGAAGGATCTTGGGATCATGATGCTTTTAATCTAATCACTAGTTGTGCGCCAACATAGAGAATACAATCATTATCCAAATTCTATCAGGAACCAAATCACTCTTTTGCATTCAAACTTGAATTTAGACCTATAAAATTTTGGCTCAAATGTTTCTATTCTATTAATGCAATGATTTATTTTTGAATCCATGTAGGAGCATGTTTTATATGAGAATCCAGGTGTTCGGAGGAAAATATTTTTTCCAAATCGAGAAAACCCCGTATTATGCCCTGTTCAGATACTAGAAGAAGAAAGGGTCATGCGTCCATCTGATGCTAGTTGTCCATCATGGTTATTCTTGTGCATTAAATATGGTGGAAGGACAAGAAATCTTCCTCAAAATGAGTAAGTTTTGGAATGATAATAGTCCTTTTCAGCTTTATTATTATTTTTTGAGTATTTTTTCTTCAATATAAATGGTGCTGGCCCCAATGAATATTTCGGTTCAAAATATTTATATGCAATTTGTGAATTGAATAATAATACAGATATGTGAGGCAGCGGATGGGAAGAAACAAACTGAAGTCTTTTGGGCCACTTATGTGCCGAATGGCAATGTTGGTTCATAATCGCAGTGGAAGCTTTTTCTTCAAGGCATTGGGTATCACACTCCTGTTTATGGCAGGATTTCCTGATGATCTAGTTCAGAGAGAAACAAAATACCGTAACTTGGACTTACTTCAGAAATATTACAGGTTTATCAAATTATATATAGCAAGCAATCGAAGCATATATAATAAATGAAACAGCAAGATATATAATTATATATGTTTAGTTAAATAACGGGCACACAAATCTCTAGGAGCATTGCTCTAAATCAATGTCATCCCTTAAAACATATGAAAAGATGGGAATTTAAATACCAAAACATACGTAGTGAATCAGGAAATTGTATATAACACCAATAAATGAAACTCTTTCAATTTATAGAAAATTATAGTAGAGTTCTTTTTGGTCTAAGACATGCCTAATACACTGTTGTTTTCTTCATCTAACGCTTAATGTTCCCTTTACAGAACTGATGAGGATGCTGAGGGGGAGGAGTTGTTTCTTCCAAATTCAATCGCATGTGACAATGTAAGATTACAAATCTCATATAATGCTTGTTAAATTGTATACATGGAACATACGAGTCTAAATTGTAGTTCTCACACGATCCTCATAACATGTTCATATAATAGCTGCAATTTTATCACACTATTGATTTTGGTGGCCTTAAAATAGCTCTTCTTTTTGGTGCCAAGATTACTCTCTTAGGCTTCTACATTGTGTTTGTGTTGTTCTAGCAGGGTACTCATGAACCCCACAATTTAACTAAAAAGACAGTTGCTGCAAAATCCAAGGGAAGAAAGCACACTAATGCAATCATCAAGTCACATAATTCACAAAAGACCCCATCTCAACAGGCAAAACCAACAAGTTCAGCAGCCACTCAATTTGGTTTAACTGGCTATTCTTCTGCTTACACATATGCAATGGCAGCATTTCATTCAATGCCATCTCAGATCTCTTCGCAAGACACTTCTCACATGCCAAATCTAGCTCTTGCCACTTCCAGTACTAATAATCATTCTATGCTGCCACCTCAGCCAGCAAATACATTTGTACCAGTTATGTATTGGCCTCCACCAAATGCATTTTTTCCTGGACCCTATCCTTCCACATATGGATACCACTCTTTTCCTTCTGCGGGAAATTACATGTCATTCCAAACACAGCCTCATTACAATCACCCAAACATGTTAGAAGGCAGTGGAAAGAATGATTTAGCATCTGATGAAAGTGACAGTGACTCTGATAGCAGCAATTCAGGGTGTAGCGAGAGTAAGGAGAGACCGGCATTTCACAAATAATGGACTCATTGCTACAATGACACGCCATAACATAAACCATGTACTTGCAATGTAATCATTTTGTAGATGATTGAAGTGGCATCATGCATAGATTTTTTGTGCAGCTTGTGACTAAAACTTATGTGTCTTAATGTGATTATGAATCTCTGATATATATTGAACACTCATTTCCTCCCGGAAATACAATCCGAGGGTTGTTCCAATTTCTCAAGGATGTTTGGTTTTTCAATTTTCATAGCTATTAAGCAAAGAATATGCTAAGGAAAGGTTACATCATATACTACATAGTTGTGGATATTGTTATTGTTATAGATTGACCAGTGATTAGTGTATTTTTTCTTTGGCGAGAGCGGAGAAATTATTAAATAGATAGATCATTGTGGCAGTTAACACGTAATTAAATTTTATTAATTCTTATTTTATAAATTAAAAATTCAATTACATGTTAGTTAGAATCATGGAAATACGATGTTGAGAGACTAATAATTTTTTTTATATGGGTGAAGGATAGGGGAAAAACCAAACAGAAGGAGAGGGCTCTCAAATGTGGGCATAATTGACACTATTTAGAGCAATGGCAGACAGAAAATAATTGCACTCAATTTCTCTCTAGTGTCTGCAAGAGCATTCATGGGCAGTGTACATACTCTATATGATCAAATCAAGTTCCATGATTTAAAAGGGATGTCCGAGTGCCTTGCTTAAAATTTAAAAGAAGTATTTCTATATAAGAGTTTTTAATAAAAGTAATTCTTTAACAAATTGATAAAAATTACTTCTTAAAAAAAAGCTGCTTATTTTAAAAAAGAAACTCTTTTATGGAAAAAAAATATTTAAACAAACAGACCATAATTGTACTTTTTTTTAATCCAATTTCTTTTCCTATATATATATATATATTTATATTTCTAACTCTCATAATAAATAAATAAATATCACATTTTTATTTTATTTATAATGATAAAATTTGACGTCTTTTAAAATAAAAAAATTTGTAGTATGTAAGATTAGGACTGAGAAGAAAATTGAGAATTTTTTTTAATGAAATTTGATGTTTTAGTTGGTGATTTTTTTTTGTAAAATAAAGTTTAAAATAATTCAATTGACTTAATTTATAAAATTTTTGAATAAAAAATGAGACTTTGAAAGTTTTAAATTAGATAGGATAAAATCAATAAAAGGGTCAAATTTGTTTAATTTTAAGAATAGAGGGACTTGATTAAATTCAACAAAAAATTAAAAGCAAAAATCACACTGGAAAATATAAATTGAAAGAACTGTTACATGTCCATGGATCAAAAGGATGAAGATTAAACTCATAGGAAAGATAGAAAACATATTAATATTCATGAGACAACATATTCAATTGATTAAAAAAAATAGTAAATGATGCATTATTTGAGACTTTTATTTATATAGTTTATTGTGGCCTAATCTTATAACTAACTAGTAACATCCTAACTTAAACTACAACTAACTCAGTTTCTAATTCATGATCTCTATTAAACTTAAGAACCAAACATGTAATTTAAGCCTATATTTAGGATTAATATTGTTATATATTTGTATCCATGTATGTAAGGTTGCTTCTCAGTTAATAGATAACATTCTTTTAAAAAGACTCGATCTTTTTACCATAAGCAAAATTAAAAGTATACCTGATACGAGTTTCAGATATATTTCTCAAGCTCTTTTTGTTGTTCTCGGTTTTCAAGTCTTATGAATAAGTAGAAATTACCTTCATAGATACTATCCAAGGCTCAAGTCAAATATAAGTGTGTTTACATGTATGAGAGAATTGGTGTTTTTAATGTACAAACATTGTAGAGCTATTCTCATCTTTATATGTCATTGGGTGTTATCTATTATTAAATTTTTTTTAATAGAAACACTTGTGTGAATCTTGGAGAAAAGATAAGATATCTTAATTTTATCTTTTCATGTTTTCCTTTTACTTGGTAATGGCCGAGAAGTATTCGACCTTGTGTTATGGATGGCCGTACGTGAAGGATCTGGCCTTGTATGGTGATTAATAAATGGATTATGTTATCGCAAATGCAGCCTTTGTGGTGGCCCTTTACGTAGAGATGATGATGGGTCTTTCACAAAAGGTTTCCATGCTCAAGTGGGGTATCACTATCACCTTGCTAATGCTATAGCTTAGGCCATAGAGGATCCTTTTCTCTTCATAAAAATTTATGATTTAAAAAAAATTAAAATTAACTTATTCAATTCATAAACTACTTTGTAAAAGTTCTTATATTGTTTTTCTAAAAAAGAAAATTTAACTTATGTATAAAGTTAATTTTAGATCATGATGAAATTAATTATTTTATTTTTCTGTTATATTTTCTTTTTCTACAGGTGTTTATAGCTAAATTTATTCAAACAAGCCTTAATAGTTTCTAGACTTAAAAATATAGTTGCATTAAATTTAAAACTGTGTGCATAATTTGTTGCCTTTTTATTCAAGTTTTGAATAGGGTGGCTCAAACTTAAACCATGAAAATTAGCCTTAGGAGGAAGGTCACCCGAGCTACTCCCCAAAAGTACAGCTACGACTACATTTAAATTTTGAAAGGGAATCCAAAGTTGTGATTCGAACAAAATCAACAGCCGTCATCATATATACTATTTGAGAAACATAATATGATCGTATTTGACTAACCATCTTACTCTTACAGTGTTATTTAGAAAATAACTTACCAAGAACCAAGAATCACCGACAAGAATCTGGCGTCCTTTGTCATTTCTCGTTGCTCATTCGGATGAGAAATTCCAAACTTTTGTTCTCCGTACAGAAGTATAGGAATAAGCCAGCAGGCAGCTGAAGGTGTTGGGATAAATTTTTTTTTTATAAGTCAAATAGAAATTTTCCATTTATCAATATTAAGAACCATTGTCTCAAATTACAGAGTTAATGTTAATAATACGTACTTGTATCCATTGACGTTGATCAAAAGGTTGCAGCGGAATAGTCTTTTGGTGCAATTATCTTCCTCAGCCAAATCACTGGATTCCTTGATGGGACTTGATGTTACTCTTCTGATGGGGAGACAGAGAGACGTGTGTTTCTGATTTGACATATTGGGGACTATGACCATCTTTATGATTTTAAACCTATTAGGGTTCCCATTAACCCCTAACGGGCCAAATCTGGTTTCCACTTATTTGGACTCATATCAATTTTTCCTGTTGGCAGTCTAAAGGCTCACTAAAATTAGATCACTTTTATTAAGTCTAACTAAATATAAATAACTAATATAAATATTACAAATATATGTAGCCCACAATATTTATTTATTAGAAATAAAATTTCAAACAGAAGGAACGTGATTTCATTTTGGCATTTTATCCTTTGCACGTCGTGGTCATTTTCGATCAAACACTCATCCCATTTCAGAGCTCCGCGTGTACAAAAACTCAGTTACATCAATGGCCCTATTTTGTTTTATTGTTTACTTCATCGTTTTCTTTTTGGGACCACCTGTCCTATCAACCAGCAATTATACGTTTTGTTTGCTTAATTCATTTGACAACCTTCCATTTAAATGATTAAGCATATATTTGATGGGTTAATTTTATAAAATTATTTCACACAATTTTATAATAATGAGTAAAAATATTTTCTATTTTAAACTAAATCTTCACAATTTCACTTTTGATTATTATCCAAAAAAATCTCAATCATTAGAATATATTTTTTTAATTTTATAAGTTATTATTTATCACCATGGACCATGATTTATTTATGTAGATATAGAATCATTGAACAAGCTTTACTAGTATGGATATCATAAACATTGTTACTGCCATTGGAAACATCACTCACATAGGTACATTCACATAACATAACACCATGTCCATGAACATGCCCATCTACACGACACAAATTAAGCTACTTGCATACTAAAATAATATCCTTATTGAAATAATAAAAAACAACAGTTGTCACATCAGAAGATTGAAAATCAAAGCATCTTCATCTTAGTCCTCCCATCTCCATGAACCTGCCGACACACCTTAATTATTTTGCATATATGTTACAGATTTGACAAGGGGAAGAAATTAATTAAGGGTCCTCATGGTGCTTGTTGGCAAGATTGCACTGCTTTCTGATCTCACCCTTTGTGCCAGTGAGAGGGTTGTTTTCAGAGAGCAAGGTGATGGCTCTAGAGAACTCCTTGAAGAAATAGTCCTGGCTCTTGGCCATTTTCTTCACATAAGGCTTGGTCCTCTTGTCATTGGCTAGTTGGTGATCTACTATCAACAAGCCCTTGTTGTCCAAAATGTTCCTGTAATAGTTGTTGTCTAGAATCATAGGGGTGCCACGGTCGTTTCTCACGTACTGCACGGCCTTGGGGTCTGGAATGGAATCGGGGCACTTCTTCAGCATGTGAGGGACATGGTCAGGGTTCAGCGCTGGATCAACCTCTGGGTACAAACGGTGCACCAACTTCACACAGTGGGTTCGACCAACACTGTGTGCTCCTGTTCAAAAACAATATCTCAATTATTATAACTTCAAACCTTAAGCAACAATATGCCACGTGTTTCCTTTTGGACATGTACCCATGCATCTGGCTTTATCTCCCAAGAGATCAATCAAGCGGACCCCACGTGTATTTATTAAAAGAAATAGGATGCATAAAGATTCCTATGCTAATTTATGTATGCTTTATTAATATGTGTATGTATATGGAGAAGTTCTTACATGCATGAAGGATTATCTTATCATAGTTTTGGATTGAGTTTTTAAAAAAAGAAATCTAGTGCGTGTCACAGAGATTTACTGAAATTATAAACAAGTGGCTAGACCATGTAATAATTTTTTTATATATATAGGGGCATGTCCTTTTCCTTTTCGTGAATGTATGTATGTACATGATGTGTTATGGGAAGGTGCATAGTAGCGCATATATGTATACCAAGCAATGCAACCACGCCGGGGGTGTTAATTCCCATGGCACCAAACTTGTCAAGCACTGCAGAAATGGACTCATTGTGGTCTGGGAGGAATTGCTCAACCACATCAGCTCTGCTCCTTCTACCATCCCTTCTTCCAGTTTTAAGAGGGATATAAGGACCTCCAAGCTGCAAAAGCATTTATTTTAGAGGCTTAATTACAAAGGAATTCCTCAATTGTTCCCAACTCCCAAGTAATAATGGATAAACAATTAAAGCAGTTGTCAAAACAAATCTGGACTAGTTAAGTCTCCAACTACTCCCTTCACGCTAATAATGGACCGATCTAGCAAGATTAATATATTGACATGTGGATAGGATATATATATATATATATGTACACACAGCCTTTAATTACCTTAGAAAAGTAAACTTGTTTTTGAGGAAAAAAGAAGTAGCAAATGGCAGAATACAGATCCAGTGAAAAAAAAATAATTACCGAAACAATGCCATCTCTGGCAGAGAGAACAAGGATATCAGCACAGGAAACAACTCCTGGGCATTCCCTTTCTACAGCTTCTTTGATGGTCTCAATGTACCTGAAATTCCTCAACCCAAAGCTTCTGTCTGTCTCCTTCTCAGACAAGCTCCTTCTTGTGGAGTCCAGCAACAGTGAGGCATCACAACTCTAAAAACGCAACACACACTTCAGTTACAAGTTAACTGAAAAGCAACAAATAGGCAATAACATGCACAAGGGAAAGCAATTAAGGTTACCTGAACAGCACAGTCATGGAAGATGTTCCTGAGCCAGGAGAAAGCAGTGTTCTTGTGGCGCTTGTAGAGAAGCTTGACTTGTTCTTGAATGATGTCTTCAGCCTGAGGGCATGTTTCCTTGTAGAAGTTCATAACAAGGCCATTACCTTGCTCTTCCTCAGCAAAAGAAGGACTCAGCTGGGACAGAGCTGAAAAGGATAAGATAGCAAAAAAGATGAAACCCTTGAGACCCATTATCTTCACTCACCTACTTCCCTTACTCTCTGCTCCTTTAAATAAAGTGATTGTGTTATACAGTCTGAGATCTTTAGTTTATGTTTAGATAAAGTTAATTTAATTTCCAAAACGTAAACCGTATTTGGAGAAAAATAAGTTTAGGTTAAAGCGGGTGGTGTTGTGTGACGTTGATGCTTTCATCATAATTCATACACTCACTCATTTATTTTACAGAATTGATTACAGACCACGTGCTTGGGGGAATCGGTGCAACTCACCTTATCCTATTTTTAGGTTGAAAAAAACTTGGACTTGGGTGCGTAGAAGCAACGGGAAATATGCTCAAAATGTTTGTGACGTGGCCTCATCCATCATGGTCCAAACTATATCATATCATTTTATATTATAAAGATATTAAAAATGCATGAGAATTCGTAAAAGGAGTAACGGAAGTTGCAGAAAGATTTGGGATAGATTAAATGACATATATTGACAAATGGCAGAAGTTGCTTGCACTTGGCAAAAAGTCACCTATTTCAAGTAGCTTCACACTCGGTTAAATCCTGCCAAAAAATTCCTTCTTGTGTAAATAATTATGTGATTAGTAAAAAATTGAAATAGAAATGATGATGGCTGAGCCTGAGCGTGAAGCCGGCTCTGTGACCACCGACAGTGAGTATTATATGCTTTCCACATTCGTCAAGGTGGGGACCGGGGAATCCACATATATAAAAATATAAAATAGACTAAAAATTTATTTTAGTCCCTTATAATAATTATTTGTTTTAATTTAATTTTATTTTTATTTTTGTCTCAATTTGGTCCTTAATAAATTAATTAATTTTAATGTCAGATTTCTGTCTAAATTATTTAAACGGAGTTAACTGTTGTCACGTGGATGCCACGTAGATACATAGGTAGTACCCAATTTCTCGAAAATACCTGGGACCAGAACGACCCGTTCTGAAACTAGAACGGGTCGTTCTGGGTGCACTATTAGTATGTTAATTTTGCTTCTGAAACAGGCCATTCTAGATGCAAAATTAACACACCACTAGTACATCAGAACGGGCCGTTCCGGATTCAGAACGGCCCGTTCCAAAACGCCAGAAGACAATAGAATATTCTATATTTTATTAAAAATATAATAATTTTGAAAAATATTTTTTATGGTAAAAATTTTAAAATTATTTATTTTTATAAAATACAATTGTCTTATAAATAGAGTGATAACTTTTCTTTTTTCTCTTTCTGTCTGAAGAAATATTTAAGTGTCACTTTATAAATTTTTGCAACTTATTTAAAATTAGAGGAATAAAATATAAAAATTAATAAGATAAATATAATAAAATTATTAATTTGTTTTCTTTTAGTGTCTTCTAAATTTTTATACTCATTTAAAACAAAAATATTTTATATGTTAATTTGAATTAATTAAACGAAGTATCATATGGTTTTTAATTTTTTAAAATTTTTTATAAATTTGATCTATACATGAAAAGTTTTTTAATTTAACAATTAAATTTTTAAAAATTTGATATAGAACATTAATTATTAAGTAGAATAAATCTATCAAGACTTACTCTTGAAGTAAGTAAATTTTTTCTTCATTAAAAATGAAGATAATTTTACCACAAAATAAAAAACAATTAAACAATAAAATAAAATATAAAAAAAATATTAATGTATTTATTATATTAGATATAACAACATAATTAAAATATAATTAATAATATATATTTTATAAAATTATTAATATTTTATATATAAAAAAAAGAATGAAAAAAATTTTAGTGGGACAAGTGTCCCCACTATGATTAACTTAGATCCGTCCCTGCATGTGGCTGTGTGATGAAATGAAATAAAATTTACTACCATTGTCTTTAGTGATACACTGCATTGTCCTTAATGATACACTGTATAATCCAATTGTTTAGCAATTGAAGTTATCAATTTCTATTGATAATATTATCAAATTCAATATTTGAAATGCTTTATACAAAATCCACGTGGATGCTAATTTTTTTAAAAATACCTGGAACCAGAACGACCGGTTCTGAAACCAGAACGATCCGTTCTGGTTGCACTCCTAGTGTGTTAATTTTGCACCTGGAACGGGCCATTCCGGATGCAAAATTAACACACTAAGAGTGCACCCAGAACGGCTCGTTCTGGTTTCAGAACGGGCCGTTTTGGTTCCAGGTGTTTTCAAAAAAATGGGCATCCACGTGACATCCACCTGTGCATCTACGTAGCATTCACGTGGCCAATAATTAACTTCGTTTAAATAATTTGGACAGAAGTCCGACATTGCAACCAATTAATTTATTAAGAACCAAATTAAGACAAAAAATAAAAATAAAACTAAATTGAAACAAATAATTATTATAAGAGACTAAAATACTATTTTAACCTATAATATATATTTTTTCATTCCATCACACTCACACATCCACAAATAATCTATACTAATAATTATTATTATTACGAGGAACAAATTCCTAAAGAAAACCCAAATAATTCATCAATTTACTTATCATCCTCGTAATTCAAGTTAAGAATTCCTGTTAAGAGGGAATCTGCATCAATTTAGTCCTTATCAAACCCGATAAAGATTATCTCATCTTTGACAATAAATACTTATCAATAATAATAATAATAATAATAATAATAATAATAAATTATTGAGAAAGATCTGTCAAATATTTAATAGTATAACTTGTTCATTTTAATCATTGGAGGAAATATACTTGGATGTAATTAATTATCAGTTTCTCTATAGATATATATCAAAAGTATTCTAGCATAACTATATTGAACTTTAATTATTGTTAATATATATAATTAGTATTTTAACATTTATATTACCTTCTAAATCTTTATTTTATATGTATCTTCTAATATACTTGTAAAATAATTTGACATTTATCTAACTTAAGATATATATTTAATATAAAATCTAATCATTTATAATTATGATTACGTACTAAAATATAATATTTAATAAAAAATAAATTTTTATATAATTTTGAGATTCTCAAATTTATAGACATAATAATTAAGTATAAAATTATCATTTAAGATAAAAACAAACAATATATTTTTGAATATTTTAGACAAAGGTTATGTCTATTATATTTTTCACATCAGAATAATATATAATTAAAATTTATAATAAATTAATTATATATACAAATAAATATTATATTTAAATATATAAAAATATAATAATTAAAAAATTTAATTTAATAAAAAATTATAAAAAAAATCTTTAAAATATTATCATTAAATAATAATTTCTAAAAATATTCTCATTCATGTTTAATACATAAAAGATTGTTTAATATATAAAAGATTGGTTATAATAATTATTGGATTTTTATAACTGACATAGTAGATTGTATACTCTAATTAACTTTAATCAAAAAGTATACGATCTGCAAATCTCGAACACATAAAAGTTAAGAAGTTCATATAATCAACAAAATAATGGGTCTTTATTTTGATTAAATTGGTGAGTAACCGATATAATAATTTACATATGTCTAATTAGAATGATTTTATCTAATTAATTAAAATAATTTACTCTATTTAATTTTAAGATAAAAAGTATATTATCCCGAACCTCGAGCACATGTGGAAGAAGTTCTTATAACCCAAAATACACCGCAATCATAACAATTTACTCTAAAGTGGGAGGGTATGATAAACCTCTTCGGTGCATATAATATTATAATAGTAAATATATATATAT